GGGGTGTTATTAAGTGAAAGATGGAAAGTGTGCAAACTTGATATACCCGGTTGACTTGAGGAGAAAATGGAAGCACTAGTGCAATCAGGCTCACCTTCAGCTACCTTCATGTTCATTATTTTAAGATTTCCATTTGTACGCATAATCATCTGAACAATAGCAGAGACGACAGCCTGAACTATACGTAATTCGCCACATTGGCAAAAATAACCAGCACCAGCAAGCCATTTTAAACAAGCAATATGTAACGAGTGTATATCAAGGGTTTCTAAATAGGGAGCATATTTTGACGAATGTGATTTGATAAAAGGAAAATTAATTCTTAGAGGGATTATCGTTTTTTGCTCCTCTATGTTTAGTTCATTTAAATAAGTAAGGATTATTGAATCTCTCGATTTCGGATTGTTAACAAAAGGATTCCTCCATAACATTGACATGGCGATTTGATGTAAAAATTTGTTGATAAATAAACAACTGTAAAGATCTTTTACATTGTTTAAATAGGTAAAAATTTCAAGAATGCACTCATCCGGCAAGTCGAAGAATTCCTTTCTTTTATTTATATTTAACATGGTCCATACACCTCGTGTCTGATCTAAAAAAAAACAAATCATAAGTAACTTTCTTGCATTGAAATTGTGTTTATGTTAATAAGCATCCATACGGATTCGAGAGATAAAAAAAGCTCTTACGTTGGTTAATATTTTCAACAGTCATAACATTGTCAACATTCCTATGATTATTGCCATTATTCATATTATTAACATTGTAATCATTCAAATGTGAGTTGTTAGTGGTAATATTTTTTACAAACTTTACGGATGTAATATTTAGCAATGTATCTAAAGTTGTCTTAATATCACATAATTTTGGACGTATATTTGGATCTTCTTGCCAACATTTATCATAAATTTCAAAATATTCTGCAGGAGTATCAAGGACTTCTTTTTCTTTTTCGCCTTGAAAAATTTTAGTAACCACATCCGATTCAGAACAATTAGAAAAGGGAGGAATTCCGCTTGTTAGTTCCCAGAGAATTACACCCAGACTATATACATCTGATCTTTTGTCGAGAAAATAATTTTTTTGGAGAAAGAATTGAGGGTCGGTATAAGCTGTCCTGACTCTCAGTTCAGGCATAGAAGTATATTGACGATCTAATTGCAATGATGAACCAAAATTATATATCATTGCTTCATTTTCATTTATTAAAATGTTTTTAGAATGCTAAATTAAAGAAAAATTTAGAAACTTAGTATGCCATTAATTTAAGGATAATTCTATTTCCACGATAGTAAAATACTATTTCTTCCCATAATTTTATTATGTAGCTTACTAAATATTTTACATTATCATAAATTTATTTGAATGACACCGAGAAAAGACAGACTTCTAGTTTTCAAGACCCAGCTCTGACGAAGACATATAAGATAATGGTTGGTAGGTAAAATGGCTAAGTTGAGTTTTCATTAATAAAAAGCTATGGCAAATTTTATATCTTTAACTTTCTATTTAATTTAATGCCGGCTTAATTCTCTTTTGAGCCATGTATAAAAAAATGGTTGTTTTACTTAAATTATATGATGCTACTTCGAGGATTACGATCCTTAATTTTATGAGGGTAAAGTGGCGAACGCAAATCGAAGAGATTAGCTCCTAATAACCATTTAATTTTCTTGTATTAGTGTCAATTCGCCATTTAGCCCCATGCATCATAATACCGGCGTTTACCTCATGATACGTAATTAAATTTATGCATAATGTTAACAGTAGATAAGAACGCTTAACAGCGTCACGTGATCTAATGGAATAAAAAATTTTTTTTTACGTATCATGTCTCAGATCAATGCTGAATAATAAACTTTGAAAGACCGTTTTCCCTTGGTGTCACTTATTTAGAACTGTAATGTGTGACGAGATTTTCATAACTGATACCATGGTGGAAATAGGCGTACAATAAACAACTTAATAATAAAACCACATACAAGATTTCTATGAACGATTTCATTACAATGCAACCATTCTAATCCAGAAGCAATACCTTTTGCTATTCGAACGAGATCACACCACGAAATTTCAAAAATGCTGTCATGCATTTTACTTTGCAGATAATCTTGCAAGCTTCCACTGTTCGCATATTGTAGAACCATCATGAAAGTACCATTCCCTAAATTAAAAATATTACTCGTTAGCCTTATAAAGTATAAATTAATAATAACGTTCATTTGAGTGCTGCAAAAGAAAACTTGCAAGTACAAATTTAAGGCTTTCGCCGTACCCAGAAATTGTACTTGTGTGCCCAGAAAACTGATCATATTAATATGGTAATTAAATTGGGTGATACCACAATTTTTCAGAATTCTGGTGAAAATTTAAAATTGTACTTATAAATTTCCCTTAGTAGTACCCATATATATAAATTTATACCTTCGGAAATCCCAAAAATCTGGCAAATGTTTGGATGGTTGCTATTCCGGCTTCCGACTTTGCAATGAATTTTAAGCTTTATAATCAAAAAAAATTTTTTTTTTTTGTTAATGAAATACAAAAACTAGTTATTTATTAGTTAAAAATATTACCTCGTTAACGACAATTTCAATGTCATTTTGACTAAAAAAATTATTTGCTTCTATTATTTTTAACATAACTTTTGCATTCTTAGTTTCACAGTGGGCCGATTTTAGAGTTGCATTTACGTTAACACAGGTAGAAATAACATCACTAAAATTCGAATTATCAAATAAGTGAAATAGGCCCTCGTTTAAGGCAGACTTCACCCAACTTAATCCAACAAATCCTAATTCATATAAAAGTAACAATCTAA